TGGAAATAATTGCCAAAACTTTCACATTTTCAATTATGTATAGGTATAAAAATATCTACATATTTGTGTTGTAGTTAAGAGAGATTAGATATTTCAAAAGAAATTAATTGGAGCCATAATAGAAAGAAGGAAATTGTAGGTACAAAGTAAAATCACTTTGAACTTTGAGTGTGGCCTTATATCATGTGTCCTCCCAGGAAATTACTAGGCAGAGGGCTAAGCGATGGGACTTTTCATTCTGGTATCAATAGGGAAAAACTGCATACTCCTACACAGTTACTTAAATAAATGAATTCTAATGCTGATTCTGCAAAATCTCTAGATTTATTCAGGGTTCATTCAGGTTTCTACTCATTATAACTATTAATTGTTTAACTACTATTGGTAACTACTATTTTATACTGCATAGATTAAAAGAAAATGTCAGAAAATACTACTGTATGGGCATTTAGGGAAATAACAGGCATTAAATTTAACCCATGAGACAGCATTTTGAATTTATATATTTACAAGGTAAAGATGATGCACATTAAAACTTAATTTACTCTCTCTTTTCAGTGTGGTTATGGCCTCTGGCCTGCTCAGGATCATGGCAACAGCAGAGGTATTGAACATTGGCAAAAAACTCTATGAGGGTAAAACAAAAGAAGTCTATGAATTGTTCGATAGTCCAGGAAAAGTTCTCCTGCAGTCCAAGGACCAGATTACAGCATGAAATGCAGCCAGAAAGAATCACCTGGAAGAAAAACCTGCAATCTCCAATAAGATTACCAGTTGTATTTTTCAATTGTTCAGGTATCAAAACAGCTTTCACCAGAAAATGTGCAGAAACAGCTTTCACTGCTCCCCAATGTGAAATGATTCCAATTGAATAGGTTTGCAGAAGAATAGCAACTGGTTCTTTTCTCAAAAGAAATCCTGGTGTCAAAGAAGGATTTAAGTTTCACCCATCTACAGTGGAGCTATTTTTCAAGGATGATGCTAATAATGATCTGCAGTGGTCTGAGGAACAGCTAATTGCTGCAAAATTTTGCTTTGCTGGACTTGTTATAGGTCAAACTTAAGTGGATATCATGAGTCATGCTACACAAGCTATTTTTGAAATACTGGAGAAATACTGGTTGCCCCAGAACTGTATACTGGTTGATATGAAGATTAAATTTGGTGTTGATCTGACCACCAAAGAAATTGTTCTCACTGATGTTATTGATAATGATTCCTGGAGACTCTGGCCATCAAGAGATCGAAACCAGCAGAAAGACAAACTGTCTTACGATGACCCCAAGGAAGTAACCCCTGAAGGGCTCCAGATGATAAAAAACAACTTTGAGTGGGTTGCAGAGAATAGAGTTGCTTCTGAAATCAGAAAGCGAGTGCAGGGTTGTAGTACTGATGGGATCAACTTCTGATCTTGGTCACTGTGAAAACATCAAGAAAGCTTGTGGAAATTATGGAATTCCCTGTGAACTTTGAGTAACATCTGCCTGTAAAGGCCCGGATGACACTCTGAGGATTAAAGCTGAATATGAAGGGGATGACATTCCACCTGTGTTTGTGGCAGTGGTGGACAGAAGCAATGGTTTAGGCCCAGTGAGGGCTGGTAACTGTATATCCACTTATGAGCTGTCCTCCCCTCACATCACACTGGGGAGCTCAGGATGCGTGGTCCTCTCTTCTACTACCTAGTGGCCTTGGCTGTTCCACCATACTTTCTGCTGAAGGATCAGCTCAGTTTGCTGCTCAGATATTTGGATTAAACAACCACTTGGTATTGGCCAAACTATGGGCAACCATATTGAACACATGAATTTCCTTGAAGCAGGCTGACAAGAAAATCAGAGAATGTAATTTCTAAAAATGTCATTTTATTGGTGGTGGGAAGGGGGTCCTACACATTTGTAGTTTAGCTGTAGAAAAATAAGCAAAGTAGAAAAAAAATGATTTTGAATCAGAGAAAACAAAATTGATACATGAGTAAATGCTTCTCTAGATAACATGGATTAGAATATGTTTGTGTTAATATTAATGTTTCTATATAGGTAGTCAAATTAATATAAGAACATTTTAAGATTAATTTTTTCTACCCACTGTATAATCATTGTTCAGTAGGTAACATAATCAAAGAAACACATTTTATGAATGCTGATAAGATCCTGTTATAAAGCTCTAAACTTATAACTTGACCTACTATATCTCAACCAGTATGTTTTAGAAAGATAAAATAGTTATATCTCAGGTGATAAAAGCAATATACTCCTCATTCATTTTATGGTCTTTAATTCTAAGTGCATGGTTTTTGTTTTTATAGTCACTATCTCAGAAAATAAAGTGTATTTACATTATCTCTAGGTAGGTATCATAAAATCTTTTACAGTCTGGGCTACTTTCAAACTCTCAATCTTCCTGCCTCAGTATCCCTAGTGCTGTTATAGGTATGTGCCACCATGCCAGGCTTTTTCTTTTTTTTCTCTCTTTAGTAAGGAAAGTTGAGATTGATGCTGGGGTTAGGGGAAAACATAAAATAAGACAAAAGGAAATTATGGAAGCCACCTTTTAGTATCAAGTATTAATGCCAGTGAGTTCATCTAAGAACCTGTAAAATCAGAGAATATAAAGTTCTATGTTCATTTTTAAAAGAAAGGGGCAATTATAATTTTCTCCATAGGGTTCTATGTCCCCTAAAATATTAAAAACTTCTGCTACAGATGAAACCTTGATAACCCCCTGCCCAGCCTATACTGTCTACACTTTCTGACCTCTCAACTGTTAATAAGCTGCCATCCCTTACCACATATTTCATCTGATCCTTCTGGGGTATGTTGCCTAACCACTCCTTTCTTGAGCTAACACTAAGATGTGCCACCCTTACTCGCGATCATTTCTTTTAACCTATTCTCTCAAGTACTGGTATTTCTTAGAGTTTCTCTCTTGTTTGTTAACGCTGAGTTGGTGATGTTAATAAAATTAGTATTACTGACTCCCAACTCTGCTTCCAAACTTACATTTTTTTCCCTATCTGTCCCATGGGCACTTGTGAAAAAACCAGAATGCTTGCAACTTAATTCATATTCACCGAGGCTATAACTTGATTATATGCACTGTCCCAAGTCAGAAACTTGATTTCATCCTTTATGGGTTTTTTTTACCTTTTATATCTCACTCAGCACCAGGTTGTGGCTTTCAGTTTTAATTTCTGCTTAACCTTTGAGTTTACCTTGTTCTCTGATCCTCTATGCAGGCACCTCAAATGAGAGTCAGATGCAATACTAGTCTGATAATTAGAAGGTCCTCATTCTCAACTCAGTCTTTTCTAGGTGATTGCCCACACTTCCACAATTTATCTCTCTTTTTTGCTGTGGACCCTTCTGAAAATATTAACCCTGAAGACCCTCTCTTTAGGAACTTACATGGACAAAATTGATTCTTGGGTTCCCTTGAATCCTACTTGTGGTCTATAAGTTAAGATGCACTGGTGTGTGCCAAGCAGGGTGGTGCAGCTGTAATCCCAGCACTCAGAAGGCTGAGGGAGGAGTATCCAATCTGTTTGAGACCAGCCTGAATTACACAGCAAGACCCTGTCTCCAAAAAAAACCCCCTAAAAATAAAAAGTGAATCACTGGTGTGACCTATATAAAAAAAAAACTTAATTTACTATGTTTAGGCATGGTTTTCTGAAGATAGGTGAATGGGTCTACTCTACATCAAAGCACAGCAAATTGCAAGCCAATATATAAATGTAAAAAAAACACCATTAACTTCTCAAAGGGAGATTGTAGAGTGTTGAAATGTTTCTCTGACAGCTATATTACCAAATCATCAAAGAGAACCATGGTGTTGTGTTTGAAGAAATACTTTTTTCAGCGCTGCAATGACTTCCTTGTTCCTGAGGCTGTATATCATGGGGTTGAACATGGGTGTCACAATAGTGTAGAAGAGAGACAGCAGTTTGTCAGTTCCTGCAGAATGGCTGGACTTTGACCTTAGGTAGGTGATGCTAGCAGATCCAAAAAATAGCACCACAACCAGAAGGTGGGAAGAGCATGTGGAGAAGGCCTTGGTCCGTCCTTGCACTGTTGGCAACCTCAGAATGGTGGAAATGATTTTGCTATAAGAGGCAAGGATCACCATGAAAGGGACAGTTGCAAAAAACATAGCCATCAAATAGACAGACATCTCATGAGCTAAAGTGTCCCCGCAGGCCAACTTGAGAATGGGAGGTAGGTCACAGAAGAAGTGGGGGATTTGGTTGGACTTACAGAAATGCAGAGAGAATATCTGGCAAGTTTGCCCTATCTGGACTGGGATTCCACTCAGCCAGGAACCGGCTGCCAGCTGAGCACACTTCTTTGGGTTCATAAGCAGAGGGTAGTGCAGAGGGTGACAGATGGCCACATAGCGGTCATAGGACATCACGGCCAGCAGGAAGCACTCAGTAGCTGCCTGTATAAGGAAGAAAAACAATTGTGTGGCACAGCCTAACAAAGAAATGTTTCTATTCTGTGTCCAAATGTTGAACAGAATCCTAGGTAGAGTGACTGAAACATAGCAGATTTCCAAAGAAGACAAATTTGCCAGGAAAAAATACATGGGTCTCTGGAGTGCAGGGTCCAGGCTTGTTATGATGATTATGAGGCCGTTTCCAATTACGATAATCAAGTAAATGATGGTTAACACCCCAGACAGAAACCCCTGGAGGTTTGGAAGGTCAGAAAACCCCAGCAGGACAAAGTACCTCACCATGGAACCATTGCCTCCTGTGTTTATCTCTTCATGTGTCATCTGTGGAAATAATCAGAAGCTCATGTAATTTAATCGCCTTTAACTTTATTTTATCATCTTTAATACAAAGATGGCACACAAAGTGACTTTTCCCATTCCCTAAAAGAACAAATATTATAAATATAGGTGCTCTAAACTTGTAGTTCTTTACTTTTTGTTATTAATAAATACACATGTATGGTCTTTATTCTTTCCCTTCCAAGAGAAAATATATTTGTTGATGAAGTAAATTATTTCAAATGTCACTACTATTTGAATTCCCCAAGGGTCAAGCTCTGAATGGTAGCAAACTTTAAAGGGTACCAATGATTAATTTCTTTGATTTACTATGATGTCCTCACTTGTCAAAGTCCCTTTCCACCATTTTCAATGGAAAATTAATTGTATTAAGTAAATATTTATATGAAATACAGAACAGTTCTTAGAGTTTAGTAAAGTTAATTTTTATTTTATTTCTGCCTGTATTCTTTTCATAGTTTTATTCAGCTTTTCTTTTCTCTGTGACATACTTCTTTATTATTAAGAAATCATAACATACTAACCATAAAACATGGAATATCATTGAGTTTTATAATTTTATTTGCATTTTAATGTAAGATCTCTGAAATTAGCATTTGTAAGCTTTATCATGATTTTTCATGGAGAATAACTCCAAGTCTTGCTTCCTTTTGGGTAAAGCTCAGCATTTAAAAGGCACAGCTAACATCTGTGACTAAGGAAGTAACTAAGAATGTGCAGATTTGAATTCTGCATTTCTGTTATGGAAGGAACAACAACCAACATTCATCTCCATGATCACCCTACATCACTCAGGTCTTCACTGATTGTTGTTTTTTCTTCACATTATTTGTTCCATTCAATCCTTAATGCATGTATATGTGTGTTTTTACATGTTTCACTGTGTAAAAGTGTGATTATTTATCTTAATATGTTCTTTCCTTGTCATTGTAGTTATACTGTACACTTCTGTTGGTATTCTATACATTTTGTATGCAATTCAGTATTTCACAAAATTGGATTCCCTAACTTAACTTATAAATTATAAATGAGTGAAATTGAGTAACTAGACTGTCCACAGGGTGCACACCAGGTCCTGCCCAATATGCAGATCTCACTACAAGACAGGGATTAAGTAGAACTTCCTGTGTGACTCTGTGTGTGCTCAGCATGTGCAGTTAGAGTCAGGGCATTTGCCAACTACTGTGATTTAATCACTATTGCAGAAGTAGAAGTTCATCTCATTGTTTGTGTTATGTACTGGATCACATCCATGTTATGTGTTATTTGAAAAGCAAAGGAGGCTAAATCACCATGCAGAAGAGATTCACAATAACCCTAAGTTGAGACTTGTGCTGCATCTGGACTGTGATCAAAATGGAAGTTTAAAAAATTATACCAACACAGGTGCTGGGTGCATCTGGCCACATCTGTGATCCCAACACTCTGGGAGGCTGAGGAGGAAAGTCTAGAGTAAAACCCAGCAACATAGGGAGAGCCTATCTGAAAATGAAAAATAAATAAATACAGGGCTGCATAAAAATCCTGGATTCAGTCTCCTCTATTATACAAAAACCACACACACACACACACACACACACAAACACACACACATAATCACAAATGGAGAAATAACAGTGCATGCATGCACCACAAGGCACACTAAAGATTTTCTGAAAGTGCAAGGAAAGATGTACATGAATTCCTTTTGTCATCTACAAAATTCCAGGCAAAACATTAAGGTACATCTCAAAGAGTGCTTAAAATATTTAAGTAAACTTTCATAATTATGTACTTTCCTTGATTAAATGTGATGTTTGAGCATCTAAAGCTACCATAACTTGATATCACATGAGAGAGAGAAGACGGCTGGAGGCAAGGCTGTGAGGTTGATGAATGGATACAAAGCTCCAGTTAGAATGAGTAGCTGTGCTCTGCTGCTACTTGAAGTGAAAACAAAAAACGTGCTTCTACACAGTTATTTTTAAAAAGTAAAGTAAAAGTAAGATTTTGAAGGTTTTCATCATAAAGAAAAACTATATTCAAGGACTAAAATTTATTGTGAATTGAGAATGACAATGTATACATGTACGCAAATATCACATGTCAGTATGTAAATACAGTAACATACATAATATTACATATATATGTACATGTATGTATATATGTATATTATATATGTATATATGTATATTATATATGTCTATATGTGTGTATATGTATATGTATGCATATATGTATGTATATATGTATATGTATATATATATATATATATCAGCAAAGAGAAAATGAAAAAAATTGATGGCACATCCTGCCAAAAACTACTTCTGTAACTGAATTTCTAAGATGTTAGGAAATTAATATGTAATTAAGATATTGGTAAGATATGAATTCAAGTTAAGACAAAAGTATGCTCTTTTTTACTATACTATCCTCCACACTATAATGATATTTCAATCATTTTCTGTTTATTCAAAATAGACACTTATGCGGGAACAGTAAACAAAACAACCAAGGCACCCCTTTGATACAGAATCTCATTTCAATGATGCCCATTCAGTGGCTTGGTCATTAATTACATAAAGTTGAATCCTATGGAGATAACACTCCAGGACTTATTATAGACACAATGCTTACATATACAATTACACATAGTAATCATTTAATAAATAGTAAGAATCACAATGCTAATAGTGACAAAATCATAATATTTAAACTATTAGCTCATTATATAAAAAGTACTTTTCATTTTGATCATATTTGATCTTGTCATAATTAAAGCTAGGAAAGCACAAGATCTATCTGAATCAGTGATTTACAACTTAATATAATAAAATTATTTTTAAAAATGTTTGTGTAAGTATGGGTTATTTCATAGAGCTAAAGATACAGATACTTATAGAATTTAATTTTCAGTAGATGGAAGGAGTTCATGCTTAGCTATTTGGATCAAGGTTAAATATAATATTTACCTTTATTGGCTGCATAAGAGATGAGAGAGGAAGAAGAAAGTTTTATTTCAAGACTAGGTAATTTATTTGATGCAGAGGCAAACAATCAGCTCAAATATGTTCTTTCATCAGAACTAATAATGCTCTTTAGTACCAAATATTTTCCACCCTGGGGATGAACTCCTTTCTCAAGTAAACTTTTAATTGAGCTAAACCATTATGCCTGCCTCCCAAGGAATTAGGGACAACACTAAAAACACTCTGTGGCCATGCTGCTTCCATAAAGTAGCAGACACGCATCCTTTTAAGTAACCATTAAAAACAATGAGCATTGCTAACATCAGAACATTATAATTATCATACCAAATGATATGTTCTTTAAAAGATGGATGCAGAGCATGTGTTGGACTAGAAAGCTCATTTTTTTACCATCCAACATTGAGATGTAAGATTTCTAGGGCTACCAGATGGCTGTGTCATCTTCACTATAAGTATTCCTTCACCAGCTACACACTTATTAGGCCAACCTCATCATACCTTCCACTAAAAATGGGATAGGAGACTGGGTAATGAAATAGAACCTCTTTCCTATTTCTTTTCAGGAGTAAAAACAGGCAAAGGCATGCAGAATTTCTAGACACAACTCCTCATGTAAAATAGAATTAAAATAATTCACCAAGCTGAAAGAGAGGCTACAAAATATAATTTCCAGCTGAATTGCCCTGTGACTAGCTATGAGACTCTATTTCTATCATTAACAGCCCTTGATAATCAAAATATAAAATTGCAAGTAGTAACCTAAACTGTATATGGTGGGAGAGGACAGAAAGGAGAAAAGGGGAAAAGAAAGTAAAAAAGATCAAGATGCCATATGTGTGTGCACCAATACCACATGATGAATATGTTTATGATATATCACAAGCACAAATTAAGAAAAGTTTACTTAAGAAGTGGGCATTGACCTCATCTTTGACAAAGGAGCCAACTACCCTCATTGGATGAAAGGTAGCCTATTTAATAAATGGTGCTTGAAAAACAGGATTTTAACCTGTCAAAGATTAAAACTGAACCCATATCTATCACCAAGCATTAAACTAAGATTGAAGTGGATTAAAGATCTACATATGAAAACAGAAACACTAAACTTGCTGGAACAGAAGTTAGGTAGAACTCTTGAAGACATAGGCATAGGAAAAGACTCTATGAACAAAAGCTCAGTAGCACTGGAACTAGCACAAAGAATCAACGACTGGGATCTCATCTTATTAAAAAGTTTCTGCACACAAAGAGAAACCACCAACAGAGCTAAGAGGCAACCTACAATATGGGAAAAAGTTTTAACACCTCTACTTCAGACAAAGGACTACTCTCTAGAATAAAGAACAGAAAAAAATCAGAACACCCAAATGCAAAGACCCAATTAAAAAATGGGCATCTTAAATGAACAGACATGTCTCAGACAAAGAAAGAAAAGCATCAAATAAACATATGAAAAAATGTTTAAAATCACTGGTCATTCAAGTGATGCAGATGAAAACAACACTGAGATTCCACCTTACCCCACAAAGAATGACTGCTATCAAGAAATCAACCAATAACAAATGCTGACAGGGTTGTGAGGAGAAAGGAACACTTCTCTCTTGTTGGTAGGAGTGCAGACTGGTGCAACCACTATAAAAATAAGTATGGAGATACCTCAGAGAACTAGGACTAGTGGTCTCATTTGATCCAGCTATACTCCTGCTGGGTATCTTCCCTAAAGAATTAAAAGAATCATACCACAGAGATATATGTGCACCCATATTGATGCAGCACAGTTTGTAATAGCTAAAGCTTGTAAACAGCCCAATTGCCCATCCACTGGAAACTGGATAAAGAAGATGTGTTCCTTTTTATAAAATGGAGTGCTACTTAGCCATAAAGAATGAGAAACTAGAGCCATTTATAGATAAATGAATGCATATTGAGGCCAAACTCTTAAGTGAAATAAATAGGACACACATGTAAATAGCAAGTAGTTTCTCTAGTGTCAGAAACTAAAAGTGTAAATA